ATTGTCTATCACTCACACGTAATTTTTGAGAAATATATGGTCTACATTAACTATTATTAATATTTATGCACATAATTTCTGTAGTGTGTGTTTTTCACAGTGAATTTAAATATGTTAATAGCTTGTTGTCCAATCATTGTAGGATCAACAAATTAAAATCAGCCATCAGTAATAATATTGTCTATCAGTCACAAGTACATGTTTCTACAATTAGCAAAATATGAACCTATAGTTGTAATTACAATGTAACAAAACAGTTAAAACAATGAACAACACATACAGTGTCCAATCATTGTAGCATCAACAAATTGAAATTAGCCATCGGTTATCATATTGTCTATCACTTACAAGTACCTTTTTATATATGTTTATATGTTGTAAATGAATTTATATAAATATTTGTGATCATAATATCAGTAGTTTATGTTTTTCAGTGAATGTAAATATCCTTATATCTTGTTTTACAAGCAATGTAGGATTAACAAATTAACATCAGACATCAGTAATATTATTGTGTATAACTCATAAAAATTTGTGGAGAAATATATGGTGTAAAATAATTTAAATGAATATTTACGACCATATTTTTTTAGTGTATGATTTTCATAGTGAATGTAAATAACTTAACTTCTTAATGTCCAATCATTGTAGGATCAACAAATTGCTATCAGACATCAGTAATAATATTATCTATCACTCACAAGTACCTTTTGAGAAATATATGTCATAAAAAAATTATATTAATATTTGTGTGAATATTTACTGTAGTGTGTGTTTTTCAGTGTGAATGTAAATATCTTGTTTCACAATAATTGTAGCATCAACAAACTAATATCAGACATCAGCAGTAATATTGTCTATCACTCACAAGAAGCTTTTCATAAATATTTCTTGTAAATAAATTTATATTGATAATTATAAGCATATTTTCCACAGCATATGTTTTTTTATAGTAAATGCAGATGTCTTAATATGTTGTTGTGAAATCATTGTAGGATAAAGAAATTAATATCGGACATCAGTAATAATATTATCTATCACTCACAAGTACTTTTAGAGAAATATATGTCATAAAAAAATTATATTAATATTTGTGTGAATATTTACTGTAGTGTATGTTTTTCAGTGTGAATGTAAATATCTTGTTTCACAATAATTTTAGCATCAACAAACTATTATCAGACATCAGCAGTAATATTGTCTATCACTCACAAGAAGCTTTTCATAAATATATAATGTATATTAATTTATATAAAAATTTGTGTTCATAATTTCTGCAGTGTGTGTTTTTAATGATTGTAAATATGTTAATATCTTGTTTCAAAATCATTGTAGGGTCAGCAAATAAACATCAGGCATCAATAATTATATTGTCTATCACTAACAAGCACATTTTGATAAATATATGGTTTGCATTAATTTATATTCATTTTTATGTGCACATAATTTCTGTAGTGTGTTTTTTTCATTGTAAATGTAAAAATCTTAATTTTCTAATGTCCAAATGTTGTAGGAGCAACAAATTAAATTAGACATCATTAATAATATTATCTAAAACTCACAAGCACCGTTTAATAAATGTATGTTAGATATGAATTAATATTAATATTTATAAGCATAATTTCTGTAGTGTTTTTCATGAAATAAATGTAGGATAAAGAAATTAAATCCAGCCATCAGTAATAATATTATCTATGACTCACAAGTAGCTTTTCATAAATATATTTTGTAAAAAAAATTATATTGATAATTGTAAGCATATTTTCCACAGTTTGTTTTTTTCATGGTAAATGCAGATATCCTAATATCTTGCTTTACAATTATTGTAGGATCAATAAATTAATATCAGACATCAATAATTATATTATCTATCACTCACAAGTACATTTTCATAAATATATGTTGTAAAATAATTTATATTAATATTTGTGTGCATATTTTCTGTAGTGTTCATTGTGGATGTAGATGTCTTAATTTCTTTAAGTCCAACCATTGTAACATCAACAAATTAACATCAGAAATCAATAATTATATTATCTATCACTCACAAGTAGCTTTTCATAAATATATCTTGTATATGAATTTATAAGAATATTTATAAGCATATTTTTATAGTATTTTTTTTGCATTTCAAAACAAGTTTATTTAAAAAGCACACTTCATACACAATGATAATTTAAGAATAAATCCATTACATCTCCCATTTCATCATTTTATCATGCAATTACATTGATTACAAACACAAATTACAAAAGGTCTGCTGGTCTTCCTATTGCAGCTCTATATTGACACATGGGACATGAAACAAACATTGGCAAGAATCTCACTTAATATGTAATGAAAGTACAACTTATTACATTACTATGTAATATGTGGCAATTATGTATAAAAATATTGTGCAAATACATGCAAGTAAAAAAAAAACATTCCAAAGTGAATAATAGCATTGTAAATCCCCAAATGCATAGATTCTCATTTTGGACTCTTTTCGTCCACACTGTTAAAAATTGTCCTGTTAAAAAACAGTAAAATACTGGCAGCTGCAGTTGCCAGCAATGTACTGTTATTTTACAGTATGTTGCTGTAAAAATACATGGACTACATTGATTTACACAATACTCAAGTGAACTCATTTTGCTCACTGAAAGCAACTGCCTCAACTTGGTCAACTGCTGAATGAGTTTATGAAGTATTGTTTTATATATGCTTAGAAGCATACTTATAATGATAACTTATTTTACTTAATTAGAAAAGTTCGGTTTAACTCTAATGTCTTATTTTTCACAACAGCACACATACATGTAAATCTGGAATCACCAGAGAGATTCTGACTGCATCAGCAACTAAACAGCCGCTATCTTTAAATAGAGAAACATGCAGAATAACATCAGCAGTTCATTGTTCATCTTTAACTCATACACTGGCTCTACTCTCCTCCACAACGGTGACACACAGAAGAAATTAGCTTCAGGTTTTACAGTAAAATACTGTTTTTTCCTTGATTTAACAGTAATCTACTGGCAGCTGTGGTTGCCAGCAATATACTGTTTTTTACAGTCTATTTCCGTTGTGTAAATTAACAGTATATTACTGTTAAAATACATTTTTACACTGTGTTTTTACCTCTCACACCTTTAACCCTTTAAACCCCAGAGCATATACTTCAGTTTTTATTGAAGTGTCCACACTACTGAGTGTTCAAGAAACATGGAGCAAAGCTGAAGTAAATTCATTAATTAACTGACTAATTAAATGATAATTGAGGATTAACAATGAACAAATGAAGAAATACTGAAGGGAAAAAACAAGAACAGAAAATACAAAACTTTAGTCACAGCTTTATAATGAAATAACCTGAAGAACAACAAATGATTAAATCATTTAAATGATCAGCGGATGATTAAACAACTCTACAAACATCATCACCAGCTACACTTATTACTTAATACATGTATTTTTGTATAACATTTACTAAAGTTCTTCTTGAGAAAAAGTTAAAGTTTTACGTCACCATCATGGAGAACAGAGTTTGCTTTAGTTGGGCTCTTAGCCCTGTCATTATTAACATTTATATATCTTGGCTGCTGCAATTGTTAAGAACTTTGTTTAAAAAGCTCCTTTGTTGTGGCAAGCCAGCCAAAAACCTAAATAAGATCTGGTGATGTTCATGTTGCTATTAAATGGCAGAGTCTGTTCTCATTTCGTATAATAAAATTTACTGCTCCTTTCAATGTTAAATCTATTGTTTTACATTATATGTCTATATATGGCAATGATTTCTGGAAGTGTTTAAGAATATCTTGGACAATAACACTGCTCTATGGTGTAAATCGCACTCAAACAGACATCAATAATCAGCATATGAACCTCAATAATGGTGAAAACAAATTTAACAAAATTAACAGTTTAACTCACAAACAGGAAACTGAAAGTCTAAACATAAACAACAGCAGAATAAAACACAAATAAAGAAAACTGTTAGACCATTATACAACATTTATTTATACCGCAATGCATGCTGGGATATTTGTACAGTGCCACTCCCAGCATGCATTGCAGCATGAAACATTTGAGATGTTACCATTGTTGAGATACAAGGTCAGATTCATGAGGTCTGAGTGTGTATTTGTCATAACTGAACTGTTTTTGTATGTTATTTCTTAACTGTTAAGTAATTACAGAGGTATCTTTTCTTTTTCCATTTCTCATTAATTAAATTAATACCTGCAACTAATCATAAAATCTATTGCATGAGGCCCTTCATCCAGATTTATACCAAAACATTTATCAGAACTAATTTCAGACAAATAGATTTCTCTATTTATTGACTTCCCAACTTTATTGCTATAGTACAAATGTTTTGTAAACTCTGTATTCAAGCAGATGGAAAGTCTTCTTAAAAGAGTTCAAGGGTGAAGAGCCCAACTAAACCAGCCCCTCACTCCATTATGGTGACACAAAAAACACCTTAATTTCTGTTGGATCTCAATGAGAATAGTATGGACGTCAAATCAGTCAGTAATAAGTGTGTCTGCTGTTGTTTGTGGAGTTGTTTAATGATCCTCTGCTGAGACTGAAGCTGTTTTATTTTATTTTATTTTATGTTGTAACTCAAGTCACTGTTTGTGTTTCTTGTTTCTTTTCTTCAGTAATTGTAATTATTAACAGCAGGTGTTCATCAGTGTCTGAATTCACTCATTAGTGTTCATTAAAACTGTCAGGTGAACTATATTAGTTAACTAGTGTATGAAATAGTGAACAAGGACACAAAGCGTGATTTCAAACACAGACTTCAAAACATCGAATCTGAACTCTGTTAGCTCACAGTTTTCTGCAGTTGGTTACTTTCTCGAAAACAAAAATGTTACCCAGAAAGCACTGTTTTTAACAGAATATTACTGTTTTAGTGAAAAAACATTATTTTACTGTAGAATCTGACCGTTTTTTAACAGCAATTTTTTACAGTGCACATGAGCCGAACTCATTTCATGACACTGTTATTTGCTGTCTTGAAAATATTTTTTTATTCACATGTACTTCAGCAGAGTAACATTTTAAAGGAGGGAGCCAGTGGTGAAGTTCACAAGTCTCAATCTGGCCATCTTTTGCTTGCGTACAATCTGTAAATAATTGAGAAAAAGAAGAGGGGAAAAAACATATATAGTTATTCATATTACACATGAACATGTATACTTGTGTAAAGTGTATATACATTAATCATAACTCAAAAATCAGTGTATAAAATTACTATTCTATATTAATATACTATTCTAAATTACTAAGTCTATTCTAAAGGTTTTATGTTTTTAAATTGTTTTAATATGATGTATACATAAACATGTCTGTGATATATTGTTTGCAGATGATTTTATTAAGATTAAGTAGTAGGCTTACTATAGACAGTGAACGTTGGCAGCTTGATTTTACAAACTGATAGTTTGTAGACGGTCCCTCAAAAAAGCGATGACGTCACCTCCTTCATAGAGGTAAGCGTGTTTTTCTACTCCTTTAAAACGCCGAGTTTGACAGAAAAGTGTGGCGTACATTTTGCTCATAATCGACTACAACGGTAAATAATTGAATTTGGATTCTTTACTTGCTGATTAACAAACTTATTGAACGCAGAGGTCGGAATGTGCGAATATAAAACCAACTTTACTTCTATCTTTTTCACTTCACATTCTTCTCCATTAATCATCAGTCCGTTAATCAATATCTCACATTCTTTTTCACTTTCCATTGTCAGTTCAAATTCGTTGTTGTTTTTCCTTCTCAGACCAATTAATTTGCCAATCCCGACTTTGTCTTCAACTGATTTGATTATGTTGTTTATAGTTGAGTTTTCAATGTCTCTTACCATCATTGTTAGTTTGGCTTCCTTCTTGTACTCTCTTTGATATCTTGCTTGCTTCTTTAGTTTGTTCAGCATTTGTTGTTTTTGACTTAAAGCATTCCTTTGTCCTTCAGTATTCTTTACACTTTCAATACTTGCAATTGATTGTAGATCCTCTTTCTTTTCTTGACCACCTCCTATTCCTTTTTTTTTCTTTGAGACAACTGTTGCCCATGTCTCATTGCTGTTTTCTCCGGCATCTTCATTTCGAGTCCTTTCAAGCATGTTAGTAGCATTTCCTTGTTCTCTGTTCCTTTTTCCATTTGTGTCCTGTTCATTCTCTTTCTCCGTAGTGTCCATTTTGTTGTTTACTAACCCCAAAACAGTGTTACTGTTTGGGGTTAGTTAAAATTAATCTTTAACTAAAAAAACAATTAAAGTAAACTTTGTAATACAAAAACTAAAAACAAAAAACAAAACTGCCAAAATGGAAGAGCCTCTCTCTTCCTTCTGCCACCTCACACTTCCTGCAGTGCAACAACTCTAACTCACACTAGAGGGCGTGTCCAGGGTGGTATGGCCGTAAGCGAAAGAGGCTGTCAAGAGTTGGCTATTTAAAACAGGCGCAGCACCAGGGACCGAGCTCAGCTCAGCTAGCATCGACACAGCACCGACAGAAACAATGCCCTTGAAGGCGAGTAAAAATAATGGCAGCGAAGCTGTGACACGGGGAAGTCTATCAGCTGCCAAATGAAGGACTTCGAAAAGCTTACAGCACCTGGTATTCCCAGGCGGTCTCCCATCCAAGTGTATCAGGTGTACTATATTTATTTATTATTAGACGAGACAATAAAACCAGAAGATTACAAGGTAAGTAAAAGGAGGTGGGGGTGAAACTGAGCAATAACCAAAGACAAACTGAATGTTTTAAATACAAAAATAATTTTACTTTAGATTTGATAATTTTTTTCATTTTTGTATTTGTCTAAGTAAACTATATTAACATCAGTAACTATTTAGACTATTTAAACAGAACCCCAGGGTGCACCCACTTTACAATTATTTTAAATCAAACACAAATCACAATAAATGAATTCAAGTGAAAACAAAAGAAACCATAAAATAACACAAATAAATCAGTGTCGTTGTTCACTCTGAAATTGGTGAAATCAGTTCAATTCAGATAAAGTTCTGTTTTTCCCTCCAAGAAAATCAGTCCTTAGAGCTGTATTTAAAAAATCGCAGTACAATAAAGGAATTAACTTTTTGGCAAATTCTTACTTTATCCGGTGAAATGAGGATAAATTGAAATATGTGTACTAATATAATGGAATACCTGTCAAATTCGCGATGTCTATATCACTCTATGGTCTTCTCACACACACGCGATTGCAAAATGGCGTCAGCGCACTGTAAACGCAATGCAACATGCGGTCTGACTTCAACACACTCTTAAACACACTAAATAACAACTATTTTGCAGGTACAACTTGATTTAGTACAACTAAAATCACTTTTAAACTGTTTAGGAATCATAACATACTGTATTTTAATCTTTTTGTTCAAGTTTGCTCCTCTCTATTATTCTGCCAACCGGTCTCGTCTCTGCTCTCTCTCTCTCTGCCGGCAAGCTGGAAGGGGCGGAGCTAACAACCCGCTCCTACAATTGGTTGTTACTTTACCTCAAACTACATTTGTATACATGAATTTTATTTCTTTTATCATATTTATAAAGACTTGTAGATATAATAATAATATGATTATTCTGCTCTAAATAATATTATAAATAATTATTTAACTATTTTACTAGGGTTACATATGTTTCTGCAACTATTGTCGATAAGATGACTTTCAGTTTTGCCATATGAACGACAGAGCATAAGAACGACAAGAATGGGATTTGATGGACTCGGCCACCCCGTCATGTATGTACTCACTTTTCTGATATGGGCTGGACTATAGAATTTCTGTATGTATTTGCTGCTATTTTCGATAAAGATGACATAAAATTTTGCAACAACATCCTTCAAAACGCTAAAAGAGTGAGAGTAAAAGAACTTCTACAGAAACACCATGATCTCTCAAATGCCAGAACATAAGAGCGACAAGGATGGGATTCGAACCCACGCGTGCAGAGCACAATGGATTAGCAGTCCATCGCCTTAACCACTCGGCCACCTCGTCACATATTTTACTTTATCTCTGGTAGAGGCCGGACTGTGGCACATATTTCTATATGTATGTTTCTGCAACTATTTTCGGTAAGATGACTTTCAGTTTTGCCGTATGAACGACAGAGCAAATGAACGACAACAATGGGATTCGATGGACTCGGCCACCCCGTCATGTATGTACTCACTTTCATGACGGGGGCTGGAATATGACATTTCTGTATGTATTTGCTACTATGTTCGGTAAAGATGACGTTAAATTTTGCAACAACATCCTTCAAAACGATAAGAGCGTGCGAGTAAAACACCTTCCACAGAAGCACCGGCCTCTTTCAAACGCCAGAGCTTTTGAACGACAAGGATGGGATTCGATGGACTCTTCCACCTCGTCATGTATGTACTCACTTTCATGATGGGGGCTGGACTATGGCATATATGTTTGTATTTTCAGCTATTTTCGATAAAGATGACATCAAATTTTGCAACAACATCCTTTAAAACGCTAAAATAATGAGAATAAACGAAATTCTACAGAAACACCATGATCTCTCGAATGCCGAATCAAATTAGCGACGAGGATGGGTTTCAAACCCACTCATGCAGTGCATAATGGACTAGCAGTCTATCACGTTAACCACACGGCCAACACGTCATGTATTTTCCTTTTTCTCTAGTGGAGGCCGGACTTTGGCACATAATTGTATATGTATGTTTCAGCAACTATTTTCGGTAAGATGACTTTCAGTTTTGCCGTATGAACGAAAGATCAAATGAACGACAAAAATGGGATTCGATGGACTCGGCCACCCCGTCATGTATGTACTCACTTTCCTGTTGGGGGCTGGACTATAGCATTTCTGTATGTATTTGCTGCTATTTTCGGTAAAGATGACGTTAAATTTTGCAACAACATCCTTCAAAACGATAAGAGCGTGCGAGTAAAACACCTTCCACGGAAGCACCGGCCTCTTTCAAACGCCAGAGCATTTGAACGACAAGGATGGAATTCGATGGACTCTTCCACCTCGTCATGTATGTACCTACTTTCATGATGGGGGCTGGACTATGGCATATGTTTGTAATTGCAGCTATTTTCGATAAAGTTGACATAAAATTTTGCAACAACATCCTTCAAAACGCTAAAAGAGTGAGAGAACTTCTACAGAAACACCATGATCTCTCGAATGCCAGAACATATGAGCGACGAGGATGGGATTCGAACCCACGCGTGCAGAGCACAATGGATTAGCAGTCCATCGCCTTAACCACTCGGCCACCTCGTCACATATTTTTCTTTTTCTCTGGTAGAGGCTGGACTGTGGCACATATGTGTATATGTATGGTTCTGCAACTATTTTCGGTAAGATGACTTTCAATTTTGCCGTATGATCGACAGAGCAAATGAACGACAAAAATGGGATTCGATAGACTCGGCCACCCCGTCATGTATGTACTCACTTTCCTGTTGGGGGCTGGACTACGGCATTTCTGTATATATTGGCTGCTATTTTCGGTAAAGATGACGTTATATTTTGCAACAACATCCTTCAAAACGATAAGAGCGTGCGAGTAAAACACCTTCCACAGAAGCACCGGCCTCTTTCAAACGCCAGAGCTTTTGAACGACAAGGATGGGATTCGATGGACTCTTCCACCTCGTCATGTATGTACTCACTTTCATGATGGGGGCTGGACTATGGCATATATCTTTGTATTTTCAGCTATTTTCGATAAATATGACATCAAATTTTGCAACAACATCCTTTAAAACGCTAAAATAATGAGAATAAACAAAATTCTACAGAAACACCATGATCTCTTGAATGCCGAATCAAATGAGCGACGAGGATGGGTTTCAAACCCACTCATGCAGTGCATAATGGACTAGCAGTCCATCACGTTAACCACACGGCCAACACGTCATGTATTTTCCTTGATCTCTAGTGGAGGCCGGACTTTGGCACATAATTGTATATGTATGTTTCAGCAACTATTTTCGGTAAGAAGACTTTCAGTTTTGCCGTATGAACGAGAGAACAAATGAACGACAAAAATGGGATTCGATGGACTCGGCCACCCTGTCATGTATGTACTCACTTTCCTGTTGGGGGCTGGACTACGGCATTTCTGTATGTATTTGCTGCTATTTTCGGTAAAGATGACGTTAAATTTTGCAACAACATCCTTCAAAAGGATAAGAGCGTGCGAGTAAAACACCTTCCACGGAAGCACCGGCCTCTTTCAAACGCCAGAGCATTTGAACGACAAGGATGGTATTCGATGGACTCTTCCACCTCGTCATGTATGTACTCACTTTCATGATGGGGGCTGGACTATGGCATATGTTTGTAATTGCAGCTATTTTCGATAAATTTGACATAAAATTTTGCAACAACATCCTTCAAAACGCTAAAAGAGTGAGAGAACTTCTACAGAAACACCATGATCTCTCAAATGCCAGAACATATGAGCGACGAGGATGGGATTCGAACCCACGCGTGCAGAGCACAATGGATTAGCAGTCCATCGCCTTAACCACTCGGCCACCTCGTCACAGACTATCCTTCTTCTACGGGGGAGGCCGGACTGTGGCACATATTTGTATATGTATGTTTCTGCAACTATTTTCGGTAAGATGACTTTTAATTTTGCCGTATGATCGACAGAGCAAATGAACATAAAAATGTGATTCGATGGACTCGGCCACCCCGTCATATATGTACTCACTTTCCTGTTGGGGGCTGGACTACGGCATTTCTGTATATATTGGCTGCTATTTTCGGTAAAGATGACGTTATATTTTGCAACAACATCCTTCAAAACGATAAGAGCGTGCGAGTAAAACACCTTCCACAGAAGCACCGGCCTCTTTCAAACGCCAGAGCTTTTGAACGACAAGGATGGGATTCGATGGACTCTTCCACCTCGTCATGTATGTACTCACTTTCATGATGGGGGCTGGACTATGGCATATATGTTTGTATTTTCAGCTATTTTCGATAAAGATGACATCAAATTTTGCAACAACATCCTTTAAAACGCTAAAATAATGAGAATAAACGAAATTCTACAGAAACACCATGATCTCTCGAATGCCGAATCAAATGAGCGACGAGGATGGGTTTCAAACCCACTCATGCAGTGCATAATGGACTAGCAGTCCATCACGTTAACCACACGGCCAACACGTCATGTATTTTCCTTTTTCTCTAGTGGAGGCCGGACTTTGGCACATAATTGTATATGTATGTTTCAGCAACTATTTTCGGTAAGATGACTTTCAGTTTTGCCGTATGAACGAAAGATCAAATGAACGACAAAAATGGGATTCGATGGACTCGGCCACCCCGTCATGTATGTACTCACTTTCCTGTTGGGGGCTGGACTATAGCATTTCTGTATGTATTTGCTGCTATTTTCGGTAAAGATGACGTTAAATTTT